ATGAGGAAGAGGATGATGATGAGCTTGATGCAAACAATGAAAATGAAGACCAGCAATCACAGGTATATATATATATATATATATATATATATATATATATATATATATTTAACAATTCTTGTTTAAAAACAAATGTAGATATTAAGAAATTTATTCAAAATCACACCATGAATATGAATTGAATGTTATTGTTTTATAATCATTCATATCAATTCACACATTCTTTCCAAAACAATATATATCCTTGCATGTCAACAATATTCTGTTTTAACAACTCAATAAAATCACCTCTATTTTTCATATAGGAAAGTATTACAAAACAGGGTGAGAATGATGAAGACGAAATTAATGCAGATCAAAATCACAAAACTCAGAATGGGGTTCAAGGTGACGAATCTCCTGGCTCAAATCGTAGCCGTAGCAGAAGTCGGAGTAAAAGCAATAGCAGAGCTGGAAGTGGAAGCAGGAGCAGAAGTAGAAGTGGGAGCAGGAACAGGAGTAGAAGTGGGAGTAGAAGTAGAAGTAGGAGCAGAAGTAGAAGTGGGAGCAGGAGTAAAAGTAAAAGCAGGAGTAGAAGTAGAAGCGGTAGTCGAAGTAAAAGCCGAAGTAAAAGCCCAAGTAGAAGCAGAAGTAGAAGCAAGAGTAGAAGTAGAAGCCGTAGTAGAAGTAAGAGTCGAAGCAAGAGCAGAAGTAGAAGCAAAAGCCCAAGCAAAAGCAAGAGCCGAAGCAGGAGCAAGAGCAAGAGCCCAAGCAGAAGCAAGAGTCGAAGCAGAAGTAGGAGCCAAAGCAGAAGCAGAAGTAGAAGTAGAAGCAGTAGCAAAAGTGGAGCTAGGTAGTTTTCTCAAGCATTATTCTTTGAAGTGGTGTAAATAAGGAACATATAATTGTTCAGATAGCTTTAATAATTTATTGAACATTTTCCTTAAATTTTAATTTATTTATGTTATGAAATTGTGCTTAAAACATTGATCATAAAACTTTTACTGCAATGATTTATGAGCTAAATATTGAAATAAAAACCGTAATTGCTGATAATTGATTTGAAAAATTACCATTTATATTGTTAGAAGCGGAAGAAGCAGAAGCAAGAGTAGTAATGCGAGCAGTAGGAGTGGTAGCAGAAGCAAAAGTAGATCCAAAAGCAAGAGTTCTTCCAGGTATTTCATCATAAATGATAGTAAGATATTTTATGGATAGTATATCTACTATAAAATGTTATAACAAATTTTGCTATGTTAACATTTTCATTGAACTAAAAGCCTTAATTTGCAGTATGCAATTTCTTTCATATTGCATAAAAAGCATCCTTCTGAAAAATGTTTTTTGAAATGATTTTTTTTTTAATATCTAAAATATTGCCAAAATGCATATTGCCTTAGTATTAGTTTTTCCAGTTTTTTTTTTGTTTCTTTTATATCGGGGATCATAGCATTTTTGAATTTGACTAGTTTTATAAAAAGTTTGTTTCTACATTTTGATATAATGTGTATAAAAATTGAACTTGTAAGTTTAAGCCTAATTTTATTACTTATTTAAATTTTGTGACAAGAAAGATTACAAATGCGTGATTTTTAAAATACACAAAAAATTTCACCGATTTTGTTATGCTTTATTTCAGATCGCGTTCCCGATCACGTTCCGCATCGGCTCAGAGACGATCTTCTGCTGCAAGTTCACGTTCAGGGTCTGAATCTGAAAAAAGTCACTCTGACAGTGATTCAAAATCTGATTCAGGATCGGATTAATAATATGTACAATTTTAACAATTACGCAGTATGTATGAATATATCATGCATACTTAAATTTTTCTGTATGCAAGTAATATATATATATATATATATATATATATATATATATATAAATACAACAGTAATCTGAATGTGTATATACATGTGTAAATTTTTTTTTTTTTTATTATAAACTAATAAACAATGAAGTGTTAGAAGCAGTTATTCTTCGTAGGGAATTTTGTGTATTTATGTGCAGTAATTCATCACATCAATAAAGCAATAGGGAAAAAATGACATTACATATTTAAATTAAAATCATGTTATTTCAATTCATAACATGGATATTTAAGTCATTGTCACATGGATCAAAAGGTCAACAATTTGTATTTTGTTTCCATAATTCACTTCTGGTTAAGAACATTTATTTATATTTTTGTGGTCATTTATCACTTTGACATTTTTTATATGAGTTTACTCATTCTAAAATGAACTTGAACTGTTACAGAAATGTGCTTGTTTGAATTAATGTTTAGTGTCTAGTACAATATTGATGATTCGTAACTAAATAATTATATTTACCTGTAAGTATTAACATTTAATTTTGAACACCACGATGCATCCTTATGGGAAAGTTAAAACTTTTTTTTTTAATCCTTTTCCTACGAGAGTTCCACAGGAGTGTCGATCAGTAGCTATTGAACGGATCAATCATAATAACATATTTTAAGATTTTTCGATCATCATCAATAAAAATGAACCCATTTAAAAGTTAAATGTAACACTACTAAAGATCTAAAAATTGCAATAAAAATTTAAATTCTCAATAGTTCTCATATTGATAAATTTGTAGCAAAGGTTGACACACATATCATCTGTCGTCCATAGACAACTTCCGTATACACAGGTAATTGAGTGGATGTCGACCGTGGACGACGCTCTTAGCGAAAGGGCTAATTAACTGCGAATCGGCGGAGCCGTAGCAACACATTTTGCATTTAAGCTGGTATAATACAAGAAATAATTTAAAAAATGGGTATACTCGTATAATACGATTAATAATTTTTTTTTGTATGGGACAATAGACACTTTTCAGAAGAAGCCAAAAGCAAAAAAATGCAGTTATCACGGAATGATCTGTATTACTTTGCACGCCGTTAAGTTTTTGCCCAATATTTTTACTTGATTATTCGAAAATGAAATCAAGCAGCCAAACGTCCTGGCGAAAAATGGAGAAAATAAGATAGACTGACAAATATATAAGTTCTGCAAAGTGTGAAAAAAGAACTCATGGTTCTCGGTACTATGTTGAAAAAGGAATTGAACTTACTTTGTAAGGTTGTTGAAGGATTGAGGAAGTAATCATATGTTCGATAGTACAGGAAAACGAACTTTGAAGAACACACGCAGAAGCATAGAAGCAAACTACGAACTATAAGTCTCTGAAGTGCGCTATTGACACGAATAATATTTTCGTATATATTAAATATTTATGTAAATTTACACAATTTATATTGTAATTATATATACATATGATAAAAAACACTGTTTTATTTTGAATCGTCAATGATAACTTTTTCACTCCAGGTTGTAGCTGGTGAAAATAATCAGGGATTATATATGGATGAATAGTTTTTGAAAAATATAATCATGATAAAGAATTTCCATTTAATTTATACAGATTTTTTGAATTATTCTGAATTATGTTTATGCTACTTGTATTAATGCAAAATGCCACTTACAATTAGCTTTTTCTACAATTAGCAATTAAATCATCTAACCTACTTTTGCCTTTATGGTGTTTTTTCACACGTGACGCGTATGAAAATTTTTTACTATTATAGATGCCTAGATAATAGTTAACGGCTAAAAAGAAACCTGCTTCTAAATTTTTGGCGGTTATATATATATATATATATATATATATATATATATATATATATATTAGGGTGGTCCTTAAAATGGTCATTTTCGAATTTCCTTGCTCCCAGGGTCTCAAATGGTTCCAAATTGATAAAAAACAATTTTCTGAAAGTTTTAGCTCTTAATATTAACGTTTGGACAGAGCGCAATTCAATCAAACTTTCTATGGAAAGAGCATGGAAAAAAATTTAAAAAAAATGTTTTAGGTATAACTTAGCGACAAATGAATGAGTTTTATTCATTCATTTGTTCGCTAAATTACATCCAAAAACATTTTTAAAATTTTTTCATGCTATTTCCATACAAAACTTTGATTGAATTGCGCTCTATCTAAGCGTTAATATTAAGAGCTAAAACTTTCAGAGAATTGTTTTTTTATCTATGTGGAACCATTTGAGTCCCTAGGAGCAAGGAAATTCGAAAATGACCATTTTCAGGACCACCCTATATATATATATATATATATATATATATATATATATATATATATATATATAAAACGTGGAAAACCCAGGAGATGATAAAGAAAATGGATAAAAGTACAAATATACAGATTCGAGGATGTAAAGAAAATTGAATAATGAATTAAGGGTTAACAGGATAATGGAACATCAAAAACAAGGTAGGTATGATTTAATGTTTCAGGTTACAAAGGAAATGGACTGTAATAAAAAGAAAAGCAGAAAAACATACAAAATGGAAGACGACAATGGAAATTGAGTGAGTGACCACAAGAAAATTTTTAGCGTATGGGAAAAATACATTGAGGAATTGTACGATAGAGAAAATCGTCCTGATAATATTGAGATTGAAGAAGAGAAAGAAGGGGACAAGGACGACAAGGAACCGTGCATATTGAAAAGCGAAGTCGCGAGAGCAATAAATGAGATGAGAAAATAGAAAGCAACGGGAAATGACGACTAACAACGGATTGAGGAAACTGACCAAATTGTTGAATCAAATATACCGAACGGGCGAATGGCCTAAGGACTTTCTGGATATCACGATGATAGTTCTTCAGAAAAACCCCAAAGCGAATAAACGCAGTGACCACAGGACCATAAGTTTAATTTCGCACACGGGAAAGGTTGTGGCCAAAATCCTTACGAGACCACTTAAAAATAAAATCGAGCAGTACATGAGCGAAGACCAGTTTGGTTTTAGAAAAAGAAGAGGCACCAGGGACGCTATTGGAATATTAAGGATAATGTCGGACAGATTTCTCGACGTTAACGAGGACGTATACTTCTGTTTTATAGATTGGCAGAAAGCTTTTGACAGAGTCAACTGGAATAAGCTTATGGGAATTTTGTCTATTGGAGGGATCGCAGGCTGATCCAAAATCTATATATGGGACAGAAAGTAAAGGTTCGAGTGAACCAGGCAGATACAAACAGCGTTGAAATAGGTAGAGGAGTGCCGCAAGGATGCACAATTCTGAAAAGAAGAGGAAACTGGATCGGCAAAAAGAGTGTCTCTGGCAAAACGTCGTTGAGGGTAAAAAAGAAAGAATTAGGCAAACCATTGACGACTTACGCGAGAAGAGAAAATACAAGGAACTGAAAGCCGATGCACATGGTCAAGAAGCACGGAAGCAGAAGTTTGGAAAGGAAAATACATGAGAAAATAGGGGAGGAGGAATAGTGGTAATGGGGATAATAGACGAAGGGTAAGGGAATCATTTATTTGTGGCGGCTTTCACACTATGTATCTGCCTTCGGGCAGAATATAATATGATCATGAAATACAGCGAATTATAAGTTCATTTTCAGGTCTTGATCAACTGTGATTTGACTGGTTTTAAAAGAAAATATTTATATAGTGGTTGATGATCAACACAATGCGCGAATCGTTTGTTTCATAGAAGAAAACATTTTGAATAAATGGTATGGAACTTTAAATTATATAAAAAATATCACTGTGTACGTTTGAAACTCCCTTTAAAACACTTTTTTTTATAAAAGTAAAAATTTAATTTGTTAATCCGACTGCAATTCATAATATTTCAAGAATAACCGAAGACCGGGGTCCTTGAAATTTTTGCTTAGAGTAAATACTGTATGCCTTCAGTGAATTTTGTAAATAATTCGAGAAATTTTAATTCATTGAAAAAATCAGAATTTCGATGTTTGTCAAATACTCATCTTTGGCCAGAAAATATGATTTTAATTATTTTTGTGCTATATCTTTCAAATGTTTAGGTTGTCTTCGCCAAAATCAAATGAGCTTTGCGTATGGAAAATATGAAACGTCTCTTTGAATCACCCAAATCTGTTTAGGCTTCCTGCACTAAACTGTGACAAATTCTACACACATGCATCTACTTTTCTTATTGTACGATGTGCCTAAATGATCAGGAAGCCTTGAAAGAGCAAAAAATCAGAAGAATTAGGTGCAAGGTAATTTTTTTGCCTGTTTGTAAACTTAACGTCTAAAACCGAAAAAAAGAACAAAGAAATGAAACAAAGTGAACTATCATAATTACAAATTTTCTAAATAATTGTAGTTGATCATGCGATTTCTTTGTTTATTTTCAAATAATGGAAATATTTATACATAAACCATAAGTTTCCAAATTTTTTTGTGTCGTGACCCCTATCAAATATTGGACGGATAGTGTATGCTACTGCATGGCCAGCCGAAGCAGTTGATATAATTTTCCATAATTAACCGGAAGGATAGTACTTTCATATAAAAAAGAAAATTGAGAAAATATTCAGTAGTTATTTTCATAGCATTTTCAAAAAGAAAAATAAAAGAATTACATGGCGAAACCTGTACATATAGAGTAAATAGATATTGATGTAGTGTATTTTGATTCACTACCGCGGATCTTCATTTTGATTTTATGCGTTTTTTTTATCTTTCCGTAGGGTAAGTTATAGTAATCGCAAAAAAATCGAAAATGAAAATTTTTATATATCTTTACGTTTTAAAGGTTTTTGAACATTTTGGCATTTCTTAGAAAAAATGAATGTATATGTGTGTATGTGTGTATATGTGTGTGCGGATACAAATTTTCGTCGACGATTTTGAGAACCGATTTCAACCGATTTGAATAATTCAAAAAACATTCGATTCGTAATGATAAGGAGACGTGCTGATTAGTTTTTGGCGAGGGCAGGTCTAGCCGTTTTGAAGATACGGGGCAAAAAGTGCCAAAAACGGTTTCTCAGTTTTTAAGAGAACGGAGCGTCCGATTTTAATAAGTCAAAAAATATTATACTTGTATTGACAAGATGAAGAACTGATTAAATTTTGGGAAGGCAGGTCCAGCGGTTATGGCCTTTCAAAAAAAATAAGTTAAAAAAAAATGTCATTTGGCGGTCAAAAATGTTTATGAAACATATGCACATCAAATTATCAGATATTTTATAGAGATTTTAATAATGTGCACACATTTTGTGTAAATGTTTTTGGGTTCCGTACCAAGATTTTTAATTACGGTACGGTAAGTTCCAACAATTTGCCTTAAGGCGCGATGCCATGCACCTCACTAGTTTTTTCGGTGAAGTGGACTTCCTGAAAGTTGTTATGGATAATAACAACATGTGGACTATTCAGGGAACCACTGCCCTAGATATTTGGTTTTAACTACTCATTTCTTCATTATCGAATGAACATTTTAATAATATATGTATCTTTTTCAAATAATTGCGAATAAAATACAATATAGGTAAACTAGTATTGTTACGTGTTTAACATGCAAATAGATTATAGTTCTGGTATTATGTGACTAAAAGTCAGCATGCGCATGATCAGCGCCCGAAAGAGAGGATCTCGTTATATATAATAGCGCAGCCAACGACGACTCTTGGAGCGAATTTAAGCACAAGCGTCATCGCCCTTTCAGTTGAGGCAATCGATCAAGTGCGCGAGTTTGTTTTCTATAATTGTACTAGTCGAAAAAGTTGTGCTTTTGATTATTATACGAGAAAAGCATCCTCATAACAGATTATTATAACATCAACTTCGTTTTACCGAGGAACAGTGTATGAACTTTAAGTAGTAGTATTGACGTAAAAGTTGCGGAGTTGCGTCCGAACGCCTTGTTAGCCTTTGTGATCGAGTTTGTTATATACTACCTGTGTAACCTGTACTAAATTGTTATTGTAATGTACGTATTGTTATGTTTTAATATTCTTAACAAACGCTCAAAGTATTAAGTATATTATACGAACTACAATATGCATTTCCGTTCTTAAGTGGATATTATATATTCAGTGGCATCAATATAAAGAAGTAAATTTGATTTTCTCTGGTTGCAAATGTTTGTGGTACTGCAAGTAATTTGTATATGTGTATTTATAGCAATGAAAACTGTCATTTTTTTTCAAATATTTGCCAATATTAAAGTAACTACTCCTAAATATGCACTAGCGCTTTTTAATTTCTTTCTATGCACTAGCGATTTTTTTGTCTTTGAACTTGGTTTTGTTTGTACTTCATTAGAACATGGTATTTTTATTCTTTCGGTTTGAAAATAAAATTTGCAAATTGTAACAGTACAAAAGTTTTTGGTCCGAACATGCGGACGACAATGTGTACCAACGACAATAGTATTTCGTCAATTTTATAAATACTAAAATAATCACCAAAATTGAATATTAGTTTGTATTAAAAGTCGTAAGACTTAAACGATCAACAAGTGAAGGATATTCTTCACTCTTATATCCATATAATAGTATTAAATATGTAAAACATTAATATTTTAGTATTACTAGATCTTTATAAAATACTTTCATATTAATATGCTCTATATAATTTAGTATATAACATTTTTAACATTTCTTTTCGATTTACAGGCATATTGGATACTCCATTCTCGCCAATTCTGTATGTGATCGTAGCTGACTTTTGATGCTAGCATTGTAATTATGTATTATCATATGAATATATTCCGTTAATTACAATAGCTTACTGTGGCTTAGTTAAAGTGCCTAAAGTGTGTGTTATCAAAGTTATATTAAAGACCAAAAAGGATTGCCAGGTGTTATATCAAAGTGCATATCAAACAATTAAATTGGTTAGGTAAGTTTGTATCACATAAATTTTAAATTATTTTTGATAAGAGATTTTTATAAATTGACCTATCTTTGTAAATCAATTTATATATTTATATTTTTATAAATTTATTTTTCAATCAATTTACCTTGAAATTCTTAATATTTACGTGGTGTGCATATTAATCAACAAGTTTGCGCTGAAATTCTAATTGTGAATTAAATCATTCTGCTTTACTCATTTAAAATGATTTTTAATTGATTTAATACAGTTATTTAATTATTCAGAAAACTTACCCAAAATGTGTTTATCAAATCTTATAAAGAGGAATGTCCTTCAGAATATTACGTTGCGTTCCTTCTGAGTGGATTGTACGTTCACAAAATGGATTCAAACAGTTTCCTGTTTTTTGTTCCCAAATTTAAGTTTTTTTTAAATAGAAAATTCGACTTACGAATTTTTTTTCTCGACATTTCAAGTAGTTCCGAACCGTTTGACATTAATATTTGAAAAGGTATATGTGTGAGCCAAAACTTGACCAGTATTTTAAAAAATAAAGAGCCATTTGATGAAAGCTCGATAACGACTCGCATTT